GATTACCAGAATTTGATATTTGATTCAGTGTTTCTGTTTTCTTTGATTTTGTCATCTAATCAATTTCAAAAAGGTAAAGTTTTAATTGCTAATTAGTGTTTAATTTCAGCTTTATTTGTACTAAAGTGTAATTTGAAGTCAACATCATAGTCCCAATGCACCATGTTATATGTTTTCATGATCAATTCACGTTGAGAATGTAATATTATTAATTGCTAATATGATTACGAATGATAATTAATCATCAATCTGTCATGTTTGGGTAACATTCAATTTGCTGTTATTACTCATTTTTGTTTATCCAATTACTTTTCATACTCTCTCTCCTTCATAATCATTATCAAAACTGTCATTATCCTCATCATACCTTTTTCCGTTTCCGATGTTACAAGCAAACTCTAATTTTTGAAGGACAAACATATATAACGGTTAATCTATTTTTCTTACGTAAACAAGTCCACCTTATAGAAGTGTCACCATGATAACATGAAAAGATTGAAAGATAAACAAGAGACGAAAAATGAATACATGGAAATAATAATGATAGAAGACTAGAATCAAGATGATCCATTAGGGAAACATGAGGAATAAAAATAAAAGGATAAAAATTCTGAGGTATATATATCATTATATAACAAGAAATATAATGAAGATGATGAAGATAAACCTGAGCACGTGAGAGAGAAATTAGAGTTGGATAGATGAGAAAGATGATCAAGATCAAGTAGAGTGAAACATCTTGTGATTTTCATCCTCATCATTTTCAGAATCTTCTCGAGATGATCATCATCATATCATCTTCAGGGTAAAGACCACTTTCACTTAAGTGAATATAATCATCATGTTTATGCTCAATTTTTGGTGTAATAACTATCACGATATTGATGATTATTTATGATGGTTAACGATAGATCCATGTTGATAATAACCTAATTGAATTGTTAATCAAGTTAACATAACTTTCTGGTTGTTATTATATTCAAATAATACCAACTTACAGTCTTATATTACCTTAAACCATTCATAATAATTACTTTTATCAAGTAATATTTAATATATGAGATCAATTGTTAGCTAATCATCACCTTCATTATTATTAAATTAATAAAATCAAATAATAATCGTTTCAAATAAAGTAATCAATTGAATTGAATAAACTGAAAGCAAAAGTAATCGCAGAGATTGAGTCAAGCATTTATTTTGTTTTCTGGTTAATCAATCAGTTATATCAAACAATCATCTTGTTGGATATAACAATTAGCCTGAAGGGATAAGGTTAAAGGTTAATCAAGGAAATAAATAAGAGATGAAACAGTTTTCTTGGACAGTGATTGAAATAGAGAGTGGGAGAGGGAGGAAGGGAGAGAGAGAGAGAGAAGATGAGATGTTGATGGAGAAAGTGCAAGAAAAGCCAATAGTTTATTAGTAGTTGGAAGACTAGACATTAAACCCTAAACTTAATCAGATTATCAATCAAGCAAGGAACCAGAAACCCTAATTATCATTATAATCATCGTTGCTTTATTGTTTCATCATCATCTTCATCTTCATCTTCATCATCACTAGAAGGACTTCAATGGCTGATGAAGGAACCGCATCAATCATCATCTCTTCAGTTTTCTGACCCTTGCCATAAGAAGAGTTTTGTGTTTAAGATGAAGATGAAGATAAAATAATAACAATGCAAATGAGGATAATAAGAGTAATATTATCATTATCATTATTGTGACTCTTGAATTCAAGTTCATTTAATATTAAGCATATAGATTATTTTATCAACGGTGATGAGTAAAACTAAATGTTATTAATATCATGAAATCATATTGCTAATCAAATACATTTGATATCATTCATATTTCCTGTATTTCAACTGAATCATGTTGCTAAGTTCATTGTGATGATGAAGAAAAAAAACTTCAATCTATTAATATATTGACAACTTGTATCATGAATTTAATCATTTTTATCAATATCAACTTTTTTTTATCATGGAAACATTTTTTTTTCATCATCTTCAGAATTGAGATTTTTTTCTTCGTCACACCAATTTCATCATGTTTATCATGATGATAATGGAAGAGGATGAGAAAGATAAAGAAAAAGCAAATCTCTCTCTGAGCAACATGATGATGGTGAAAAATCTGCAAGAGTAACATGAGAAGATGAAAGTGAAAGAGAAGAAAAAAATTCAAGGAAAATCTATTTTTCTTCCATGTTAATTCAATGTTGCCAATATTTTTTTCTGTTGTTACATTTTCGATTCGAGATCTTTTTTTTCACTCGATATTTTTGCTCGATAATGTTCAAAGTAATAGTTTCTGTTTCCGTTTTTGTTGTTTTTTCCCTCTCTCTCTCTCTCTCTCTCTCTCTCTTGACTCTCTTTCAGCTCTCACATACACACACATCAAGACCTGGTGGTAATATCTTTTTCTTAAGCTTATCATCAACATCCGAACCCAACGTGATTAAATCTAACAAGGTCAATCCCTTGTGAGATTCAGGCGAGGGTAACATGGATCATGTGGTGGTGAATAAGACAGAAATTGAAAGTAACAGAAAGTCAGAGAGGAAATTTGAACAACATCAATACCCAAACATTGAACTTTAATCAAAGAAATATCTAGTAGATGTATTTAAGAACTGAAGAAAAAAAAGTTCCTAATCAAAATGTTGATAAAATGGATAACTCAAAATCTAAATACAGAGTTTTTATTGACAAAGAATGGGAATCAAGACTATTTAGAAAGTTTCGGTGGCAAAGTTCAAACAAATCTCAATGAACTTCATCATTCAGATATATTTTCATCTAAATGCAATTTTGATTACCATTCAGATAAATGATATTGATTAAATCTTCAATTTTATCATTATCAATCTCCACCTTCCTCCCAGACTTACCTTTCTCTCTCTCTCTCTTTCATCATTCGTTTATATTCATTTCATTCTGTCACTATACTGATCATTATTCACCATTGTATTGTATTTGAATGCGAACTTTTTTTTATCAACTTTACACCGATTCATGTACATCTTTTATCATGCATACCAATAAATACATCTCTCCTATTTCATCATTTTGAGAGAGAAAAAAGAAAGGGGGAGTTCACATAAAGACTCTTCTTGTTTTTCTTTCAGCATCTTTCATCCTCATCTTTTCTTCTTCATCATTCTTATTCTTTGGAAAAAAAAGTTTTCTATCTATTCTCTCGGTTTCATATTTTTTTTTTATTTCTTATTTTCTTGTTGCTTTCATTCATTCTTACAAAATGATTCTGAATAAAAGGGAGAAAGACTGATGACAATGATTCGCTAGATTTACCTAACATCACCATCACCATCATCATTATCATCATTTGATATAAAGCAGAAAGAGAGAGTGAGAGAGAGAGAGAGTACAAATGATGAATATCATCCATACGAATATTTATTAGCATGCAAAAAGTAAAGGCAATAACACAAGGAAAAAGAGAATGGTCAAGATGAAAAGTCCATCAAGAATCATCAATGATGATGATTCTATTTTCTCATCATCTTGATCTCAGTTTTTTTCTCACTATGGAAAAATGATTCTCAGAGTTATAATTTTTTTCTCTTCTCTCTTTCTTTTCTTGTCTTTTGAAGGTTGAATATGTCACCAAACCAATTGGACTCTAGGCTCAAATTTTTCATCACAAAATAATGGTTCAAGCATCTTCTTCCTACTATTCTCATCATCATCTTTATCATACTTGCACTATCAATATTCTTACTTCTTCTCAACATCATCATCATCATCTTTTCTCTCTCGCTCTCTCATATTCTTACCTCCTTTTCTGGTCAGTTTTTCTCGTTCCTCCCTTTTCTCCCACACAAATAACTCTACTCTTTTTCGACATACAAACTCTTCTTTTTCATTTTTATCTTCCATCGATTTTTCGATTAAGTTTCCATCTTTTTTTTCTTCTTCATCAGTATCCTCATCTTTTCCATTGAACGAAAAATGGACTTTTCCTTTTTTTCTCCTCACCGTATAATCTTTACAAGGAGGATAAAAAAAGACGAAAATGATGATATACTCTCTCACAACTATCTCCATTCTCATCCCTATCAGTTGAATACTAGTAAACTATCATTGAACTTTTCTTCTCATTCCTCCATCATCATCATCATCATCATCATCTCCATCTTTCATTCAACTCATTTTTTCAACATAAAATTTTCCAAATTTTCAATTGAGTCTATTGAAGCAAGAATAGTGAAAAAAAAACCTTCAACCTCATATTTTCATGATATTCCATCACTCTCATCATCACCATCATACCAATCATACTCAAGTTCTTACGACTCTCATCAGTATTATTAATAAAATCTCCTAAATTATTATGTGAATCATGAAGTAAAAATAACACAGTTTATTCAAGAAGTTCATTTTCATTGTTGAGAGACAACAATTTCATGGGACACTCATGAACATCAGCTGTTAATATGTTTTACCAATTTAAACAGGAAAAAGCGAAAGAGACACAGACAGGGACAGAGATAGCAAGAGAGAAACAATTTATCATATCAATACTTAGCGATACTTATTGATATTATTAATAGCTTATTATTAGCATCATGATGAGGATAATTTATTAATATTTCATCATGTCAATCAATCATCAAGCCTGATTATTACTCTTTATCACAATTTTGTATAATGTAAATTGTAAAAAAAAAATTATATCAACGATGGATTCATGTTTTTGGCCCTTGAGGGTTAAGCAAAAGTTAAGTTGAATGAAAAATGTTTTCATCATCAATCAATAAAACGATATCAACGGATGATGATAACAAATATCATTTCCCATTAAAACTATTTGTTACCATGAATGAAAAACAATCAGAAGAGATAAAAGTTGATTATTATTCTGAGTACAGTTAACATTTTATCACAAACCAAACATATAATCAGCTGATGTAATTTTATCAGAATAAATTGAATAGTATTTACTAGAGTTAGAAAGGTTTATTAAACTTACCGCATCCACATGAATCGGGTGAATGGCAAAGTAGATTGAGGCAATTACTGATTCCCAGAACTGAAGATTGAAACAAATACACAACCTGTAACATAAAGATAACAATTAATATTAGAATATCAATAAAATTCAATATTAAACATGAGAAATCATCATGAAAATATCTCAAGATTTATCATAAGTTGAGATGAAAAGTGTGAGTCAATCATCATGTAGAATTGAATCTTCATCATTTCCGATTGATTTAAAAAGGTCATTTGTAGATTGATTTAATTTTCATACTTCTTTTTCATCTTTCTCTCTCTCTCTCTTCAAATATTGATATACACATACAAAAATCTATGATGAATATTATGAAAGTATTTTCATGGCGTATTAATATGTATAAATCGTTTTTTGTTGAATAATAAGAAAACTTTTTTTTTCCTTCTTGTTATCAATAAATTTCATTCATGAAAATGAACAAGAATGAACATAATATAAAAAAGTTCAATGTATTATTTGGATTGAACTTTTTTCTCTCCTTTTCTTTTACTTTTGTTTTTGACTGAGAAAATAAATTACCTGGTATATTATTCATTTTGATAATACAATGAGAGAGTTTGTAGTTTATGCTCCCTTATCTTCATCATTCTCTTGTCTCTTTGCATTTACAGTTGAAAGTAAATTGAAAATGAAGGTGAAACAGTTTCATCCTCATCTCTCACATCTTCTTCCTCATCCAGAGGAAGAGAAAAAGTTAACATTGATGAACCATTTTTATTGCATCAAATTGGTTTATCTTAACATTTCAGAGTTTCTTTTACTCGAGATTACTTTCAGTCTCACTCACTCACTCACTCTCTCTCCCTCCTCATCTTTTTTTCATCATCATCCTGGTCATTTCTTTTCTTCTTTAATCTTATGCTCCAATTGAAAGTCATTTGTCCATTATCTTCAGAATCACAACCAATGATCATAAGTCTCATTCCAATTCTCAGTAACTAACTTCAACTTTTTCCTCTTCCTTATTCATCTTCAGCACTTTTTAAATAAAAACCAATCATGATACTCAGTCAGAATGATGATCATCTTCATCATGAAAATGATCATGATAAAAGTTCATTTATTCTTTGAGCGCATTTTTCTGATATTACACAAGTAAAACCAATCAATCAAACATTAGAAGATGATTTTTACTCTTCATCCTTTTTCCCTTTCTCTTCATCTTCATCTTCTTCCATCTTTATCTTGTGGGGGAAATTCTGAGATGAGGAGGTTAGATGATCAATTTGAGATCGATGGATGTGATTGAGATAAAACTCGGAAAAGTCTGTAGGCTTGAAGACAAGAGTTCAGAAGATTTTCGGTCCCACAAAATACCGAATACACGATTCTTTTAGGATCACTGAGTTTCTCTATTGTACTTACGCCTGTGTTTTCACTTTCACTGATAATTCTAAAGAATTCAGATTTGGACAATTAAACATAAAATGTCTAATTAAAGAAGGTTGAATTTTAGGAACTTGAGAGATGGATGGATTGTAACACTTAGAAGTGCAGAATCACCTTAATTAAGAATTGAGAGATTAAAGATGAGCAAGTTAACTATTTTAATGTTAAACATTGACTGACTATTATAGAGGGAAAATTATTCTTTTTAGAATAAAAGAAAAGGGGGGTGACAATTTAGGGATATCAATTAATGATGATAAGGGGTTACAATTAATAAGGGGAAAACAAATTAATCAAATTAACCAAGTTAATCATATTAGTGATGAGGTGAAACTATTGTTACAAAGTAACTCTTTTAGTCTCTATGTCTCGACATTATGAACAATATGGTTAACATGTTGAAAAAGATAAAAAGATAAAAATTAACCAAGATAAGTCTTTAGACTTAAACAATGGTAAAAGCTAAAAAATAAAAGAAAGAAAAAAGAAAGAGGGAGAGAAAGAAAAATTCGGGTCTCTTACTTTTGTTACCAATTTTTGGTCAACTTAAAAGTTGAAGAGATTTAGATAGAAACAATTAAGAAAATTAGTTAATTGAAATTAACTGAATCATCTTTAACTATATCTTTAGGTATAGAATTGAATTTAGATCAATTTCCATTGGTTAATTAGTTGAGAATATTATAAATTCTTAATCAACTCAATCAGTTAATCAGGGATACTAATTAATTAGATTGGTTAAGAGTAACAATCAAGAAATTTACAACTATAGTTGTGGGAATGGGAAAACTAATGTTAACAATGGGAAATTAACAATGAAAATTTAAATTGTTGAATTTATAAAAATGAAAATAAAAGAAAAGCACAACAATTAACTAATTGTTGAGATGAAGAAAAAGAAAATTAAATTGATTCCAAATCATGATAGTGATGGAAAAGGAAGCCTGAGGATTTCAAGATTTTCTACCCTTCAGTCCCCAGCACTTTGATGAAGATACTTCTTCAGGGTTTCCTTTGGAATCCTATTGTGATTTGGTGGTGATGGAGATGAAGATGATGATTGAACTTCGGGAGGAGATGGAGTGTTCGGCCTAACATGGTGTGGATGGAGCGGGTTTTTCTTTGGATCTTGAGAACCAAATGATAAGGGAGGGTCTGAGAGATTATCCAATATGTATTTTACTGAAGAATCCAGGGCTTGATTAGGTGAGGTTGATGATGAGGAAGATCCTGAGGGAACATTTTCAAAAAGCTTTTTCATTTCCGCTTGAGAGACTAATGGATGAACAGTTTCATCGAGTCCAAGCTGATAAGCAACGGGGTTATTGTTTTTTCTTTGGGATGAGTTCGGAGGGTGAACGATATTGAACAGGGTAAATGGTGAAGGTTTTTCATATGATGATGATGTTGGAGGTCTCACAATTCTTGTTGAAACCATTGGTGGAGGTGATGAGGTTGATGATGAAGATGGAATTGGTGATGGTGCGGGGGAAACGCATTGGAATGATGAGTATTCCGGGTTCTCTCGGTGATGTTGATGGTATGACCAGTCGAGTGGCCACTTGGCTTTTTTCGAATCTATCAATTCAGTGAGTTTCTTGTGTAAATACGAAACTTTTTCATTTCGTACGTAGAATTGAATGGATTGATTGTGAATTCCACGACCAGTGGACTTGACTTTTTCCTCGATATCTTGCCAGAATGCCATGTACATCCTCATAGCGGTAAGAGCTTCGACGGCGGGTGAGTGGGGTCTGTCTCTAATTGTGTATCCACTGAAGATGATGAAAGCAAGGAGAGATAATGAGGCGGGTGTAGTCCGATAGGGAGAGAAATAAACAGTGACATCTCGCATCTTAGGTCGAAGAATGTCGATCTCATCAGGGGAAAGTTGTAGACATCTTAGTAGAGATACAAGTCCAGCACCAACAATTTGTTTAGCACAGGCCAAAAAGCAAAGAACTTGATCTCTAACTGAAGCGAGGTGTTTGGCGAATTTTAAATCGTCTTTTGTTAACCCATGAAAGTGGGTATCCATGAAGTGAATGTCCTTATAGTGGACTAGGGTTTCATAAACGACATCACAGTTACCGTCAATGATAACAATCCATACGGGATGATGTACGATTTTTCGAACTCCTTCGGCATTGAATCGAACTATTCTAACGTACGAAGCGTTAATTGAATAGACGTTAGAAGGATCAGGATGTTCACTGATTTGTTCGGTGAGAAATTGTTGTTGATTCGAAGAAAGATCTTCGACTTGTTGGTCCACCAGCGCATTGAAAATAGCAGCGGCTTTATTTTTTCGGTTGACTCGATATTCGAGTCTGAGCGGGTTAGAGGTGGAGGAAGATTTTGTCAGGGTTACCAATTCTCTTAGAGATGGAAACCATTCGGAAATTTTAGTTTTTACAATATTTTGTTCTTCCAGAGTTAATCTAGAAAGAGGGTTAATGGCAGTGTAGGGGGTATTTGGTTGACCAGCATCAGGGGATAACCTGAGAGGTGAGCAAGGAAGATCATGTTTGGGTCTTCCCTCGCTGAACTTTAACCATTCTTCCGAATCTTTTAGAAGATAATGGGGAACGGGATTTGACTTGGTTGACCAAGTAGTTCGAGGTCGAGAGGGAGCGGGAGCGTAAGAAACTACGGGAGGAAAGCCTATTGTTCGGACAAATTCTTCATTTTCGGATAGGGGAAGAGTAGGATCTTTTCTTTTGTTAAAAGATTCCCAAAAACCTAATCTAAGATTCGCATGAGAACGAATGCTAGTGTCCGATAGGAGAGGGTCAGTTGGATTTTCTTCTTTGTTAACCAAAAGACAGGCATATAATTCGAATTTTTGTTCAAAATTGAACTCGTGGGTTGAGTAGGAAATTTGCGGAGTGGGTGCGAGTTTGATGTGAGGAGGGATGAAGCTAACTAAACGCTTTGGATTGATGGAGGAAAGTTCCTTTACAGAGGAGCCTTGACGAAAGATTGGAATTGATTCGAGATCCACTTCTTCCCTAAACAATCCTAATCGACATTTTGATTCGTGAGCCGAAAGTAAATTAGGACTTAATTGTTTAGCGCAGAGAGTGTACCTACAATTAAATTTACAGTTTCGATAGTTAACGTAAGTTGATGAATAAGTAATCGAGCTGTAAGTGGGGTAGTCATCGATGGAGGAAAAGTTTCTTAAACATGATGGAAAGAGGCAAATGAATTTATTGGGTTTCGACGGTGGGGTTAATTTCAAAATTGCGATCAAATTTTGCACGAAGATAACGCAATTGGTACAATACCAATGCTTACAAAAGTCGCATTCGATGGGGATAAGAGAGATTTGCTCACAGAAGAAGCAACGAATTTCATTAATAAATGAATCTAACTTTTCATGGGTGACTGAAGATTTTGAGATACCTTTAGGTATTTTCGGAAGAGGAACTGAATAGATAATTTCATCATGATAAAGGTTTAGAAAAAGTTTTTCTCTAATCATCTTTTCGAATTTCTGTCTGATATTTTTGAAATTCTCATTTTTCATTAAGACTAATTGTCTAACTTGCTTGTATTTATCGATCGAAACATGATCGGGAAGTTCAGTCGGAAGAGGAGCAGGGATTTCATTTGGGAAGAATTTAGGAAATTCACCGGGCTTTGGGT